ATGGATGCAGACAGAAAGGAATGCTTATACACTGTTAATGAGACTGCAAATTAATATAATCTCTGTGGAAAACAGGATGGAGATTCCTCAAAGAACTAAAATTTGATCCAGCAATCCCACTATTGGGTATCTACCCAAAGAAAAAGAAGCTATTGTATCAAAAAAAACAAACAAAAAAAAAAAAAACTTGCACTACAATGTTCATTGCAGCACAATTCACAATTGTAAAGATGTGATGTGGAAACAACCAAAGTGCCCAACCATTCGGGAGAGAATCAACAAAACGTGGTATATGTATGGATGAATTAATGCCTTTTGCAACAATTTAGATGGAACCAACAACCGTTATCCTTGAAGACCATTATCCTAAGTGAAATATCTGTACAATGGAAAAACAAAAACAACATGTACTTGCTATTAAATTGGAACTAACCAGAGCACACAAGTACACTGAAGAAAGTAAAACTCAGTGAAAAATCAAGCAGGGGGAAGGGGCAGACAGGGTGCGCAAAAACCTACCTAATGGGTACAGTGGACACTATCCTGGGTGATGGTCACAATTAGGACCCTGACGGAAGCATAATAAATGTGATCCATACAACCCAAAACAATTGTATCCTTGTAACTTGAAATAATAAAAAAAACTAAGAAGAATGTTCTTAAGCTCTACCCAGATTCATATGAAAGATGTAAAGTCTCCAACTTTTTAATGGCTGAATAGTATTCAATGATATACATCTACCAAGTTGTATTAATCCATTCATGAGATGATGGACACCTGAGTTGATTCCCCCTCTTGGCAATTGTGAATTGAGTTGTGATGAACATTCTAGTGCAAATGTCTTTGTAGTAAAATGTTCTTTATTTCCTTAGAGTAAAGACCTAGTAATGGGATTCAAAGTTTTACTTTTAGCTCTTTGAAGATTCTCCATACTTCTTTCCATACAGGCTATATTAGTTTGCAATCCCACTAGTAGTGTAAAAGTGTTCCCTTCTCTACACATCCACACCAGCATTTTAGTGTGATTAAGTCCCATTAAGTTACTTTAGGTGTTGCTGCAATTGCCAAGGACTTCTTCATAAAATCTTTTCCCAGGCCAATAATGTTAAGAGTTTTTCCCATACTTTCTTCTAGAATTTTTATCATTTCATGTCTTAAATTTAAACCTTTTATCCAGTGAGAATCAATTTTTATAAATGGTGAGAAGTATGGGTCCAGTTTTAGTCTTCTACATGTGGCTAACAAGTTCTCTCAGCACCATTTATTAAATAGGTATTCTTTTCCCCCAACTTATGTTTTTTTGTTTGTTTGTTTGTTTTTAGTTTATTGAAGATTGGATTGCGAAGTGTGGCTGGGTCAATTTCTAGTTTCTCTATTCATTTCCAGAGATCTATTTCTCTATTTTTGTGCTAGTACCATGCTATTTTGATCACTGTAGATTTGTAGTGTAACCTTAAGTCTGGAAATGGGATGCCTGCAGATTTTTTTTTTTTATATATTTCTTAAAATTGCATTGGCTACTTGGAGTTTTTCTGGTTCCATTTACATAAAGGACTGTTTTTTCAAGTTCTTCTAAGTATGTTGTTAGTACTCTGATGAGGATTGCATTAAATATATAGATCACTTGGGTAATATGGACATTTTAATAATGTTGATCTTCCTGGCCACAATCATGGTATATTCTTCCATTTTGTTAACATCTTCTGCTATTTCTTTTCTCTGGATTTCGTAGTTCTTTCTGTAAGTTTCCTTCATGTCCTTTGTTAAGTATATTCCCAGGTATTTCATTTTCTTTAGAGCTACTGTGAAGGATATTGTGTCTTTGATTTGATTCTCAGCTTGACTGTTATTGGAATATATGAAGGCTACTGTTTTGTGGACAATGATTTTGTATCCCAAGATGTTATTGTAGTCCTTGTTGACTTCAAGGAGCCTTGTGGTTGAGTGAAAAAAATATTACTTTTACTTTAACCACTTATTCATTCATTATTTAAATAAATATTTACTGAGCACCTACTTTGTTCCAGATACCATGTTTAGGCAACATAGACATTGTATAATCATAAGAATTTAAAGTCAAATATCATAAGGGAAACAACTATGTCTTAGGACCTTCATGTCACAATGAACTTAACTGAGGATGTCTACCTAAGAAAATATTAAATGCCCTATCAATGCATTATGACCAAATCTCTTCCTGAATTCCCTATATGTAACTTCCAGCTATGAGGTATTTTCTGAATACCCTGAATCTGTATAAACAGGTGATCATATAATTCACCAACTAAACTAAGATGCTTCTGAGCATGAAAAGGGATACTTTTAATAACTGTTCCAAAACAATATGGCTAACTTTAGGAATGTCCTAGGAATTATGAGATATACATAGTTATACATCACACATGCACATGTATATGTACATGTGCATATATACAAATATATATGACAAAAGGTGCCACCACTAACACAGAATTGGTGCCCTTCATCAGCTCTAAGACCCTCTTCTATGGATACTGGCAGCA